GCCGTGGGCAGCCCCGGGAGGACGCCGCGTTCCCACGCGCGCTGCGGAAGCGAGGCGGAGCGGGTGGCGCTTGGGCCCCGAGGTTCGCGCCACGCCGCTCTCCCGGGAGGGCGGCCGCGAGGTGTACCTGGGTCTTCCGCCTGGTGTGGCAGGGAGTGCGGCCGGCGCTCCGTGTGCGCGGGTTGCGTCGGCGGAGAACCCTGGGGCTTGGGGAGTGGGAATCTGAGTTAGAACTTGCAGGCTTTCGTGCTTTTCGGGCGCGGGCTGGAACACAGCTGGTTTTTACTAGTGGTGAGATCTAGGGCAGAGCTCTGACTTATTTCAGTTTCACTCTTCTCCTTTCTGAAGTATGTAACTGGATTAAGTGAGAGTACAGGTTGCTAAGTTAATAAGCAAATTTACAAGATTGCCTTTGATGGAGACAAAGATGACTGACAAATTTATTGCAACGTTCTTTCCTGCCCATAACCCGAGTCTTTCCTTAGCCATCAAGGAAAGGGAAGTGCGAGCGTGGTTGGGGGAAAATGAGATGGTGAATGTTAAGTGTTTAGCGCGTAATGCAGCCTCAGGCTGACGGGCACAGGAATGCAAATATGTGAGTAGTGCGAGTAACTGCTGTGCTGGGGAGGAGGTCACACGTGAGTCTGGTCTGCAGGAATATCACCAGCCCCCGTTTCTGCCCTTTGGGACTGCCCAGAGTTGATGTAAAATGACACATGGGCGTGGACGGAAACGTAGTTTTTCTTAATGGGCAGCGAAGCCTACATCTCCTTCAAGAGGCCTAGTTTGAACTTCACTTTATCCACTTGTGAAATTATGAGGTTGCGCAGTGAGTGGTCACTAAACTCACTTTCTGTGAGTCTCAGCAACAGCGAAAATAACGTTTTTATTTTCGTCTGTAATACTGAATAAAGTGTGTTTCTAAAAGACTGTTCTCTGCAGGCGAGAGGCAGAGGGAAACGTTAGCAAGTTGGGTCTAAATCTGCATCCCAGCTATACCACCCTCTACAGGCTGTAGAGAGTTAGGCAATTTATTTATCCTTAGTCTTGGTTTTCTCATCTGTAAAATTGAGAAGATAACCCAAAGGACAGTTAAAAATAAACCGGATGGGCCGGCCCCTGGCTCACTCGGGAGAGTGTGGTGCTGATAACACCAAGGCCCCGGGTTCGGATCCCATATAGGGATGGCCGGTTCGCTCACTGGCTGAGCATGGTGCTGACAACACCAAGTCAAGGGTTAAGATCCCCTTACCGGTCATCTTTTAAAAAAAAATAAAATTAAAAAAAAATAAACCGGATAAAGTGGATTAAAAGGCCTTATTTAACCTCCATAAAGCTGCTGGGTCTTTTTTCTTTTTAAGGCTATACAGAGACATATTTTAATCAAACATGGTCATTTAAAAAATTATTTTAAAGACTAGGTTTCCTTTGGAATCCAGGCTCTTTAAAGATTAGGAAAACGGTTCTAATCCCCTTGCCACTATGGCGTAGTGGAGAAGGCCCATTCTCTGCAGCAACTAAATCCTGGCTCTGGCACTTAAAGTGAAACCCTAGCTAGACATTTCACTGCTCTGGACCTCAGTTTCTCATCTTTCAGAAAGGGATAGCAGGCTTTTCAGGCTTGTAGAAGGAATTAGGGATAACATTAGGAACACTCTGGTGATTCTATTGCCATGTAGCAAGCCACTGTAAAACTCAGTGGCTTAAACCAACATTTATTTTGCTCCCATTTCTGCAAATTGGGCTGGTTCCAGCTGGGATAGCTCCAGGCCATATCACCTAAAGGTTCACTTACTCACCTGTTTGGTAGTTGATGGTGGCTGTCAGCTGAGACTGATGGAGCTGTCAACTGGAACATTTACACATGGCTTCTCCTGAGCTTCCTCACAACATGGTGGTTGGATTCCAAGGGTGATTGTCCAAAGAGAACAAGAAGGCCAGATAGTTGCTGTATTGCCTTTCCTAACCTGTCCTCAAAGTCAGTGTCAATTCTGCAATGTGCCACATTCTGTTCCCTAGAAAAGAGTCACTAAGGCTGACCTATATTCAAGGGAAAGGGACTTAGACTCCACCTTCATATGGGACGAGTGTCAAAGAATTTGTGGCCATGTTTTAAAACTACCACAACCCATACATGAAATTAGCTATCATGATTGTCGATCTGGAACCTGAGCCCTCAGGTCTACCCTAGTTAGGACCTACTCTTCCACTATGCTCTTTAATATCTTGTAGAACCTTGGCCTTAACTTACCTCTCAGTCTCAATTTATCCTTGTAGATTTCCAGTCAGTTGTCAAAAAATAAAAAGTAATTACCTAGGAATAAAGGGAATTTACTAAGGGAGGGCAACCATAAACTTTCACCTGTGCTTGCAATCATTGTTTCATTGTAGCTTTTGCATGTTATTCTACTTGGCAGGAATGATAATTTGTAATTATAAATGTCCCCTTTTGCAACTAACAATTTTCAAATATTGATTTTAGAAACTTCTTTGAGTAAGAGAGAAGTGATTTATTCTAGTTGTTTACTAAACATTTGTTAAGATTTTGGTTTAGGTTCATACTGTTGGTTAAGGGGACTCAAAGACTCGGGGAAATTGACAGTCCAAGGACAATAGGAAAGCAAGTGAAAATACTGCATTAGAAACCTAGAAATACGTTGGGCTGAGTGCAGTGGTGTTTACGGCTAATTGATCACAATCAGTTACAGATTTTGTTCCTTCTCTGTTCGTACTGCTTCACTTAACTAGCCTTTAGAAAAAAGCCCTGGAAATTGAGAGCACTTGTGACAGTTTAGCAGCCTCATCTCGGAAGGTTGGTATAGTGGATTGAATTATGTCCCCCCAAAACTCATTGAAGCTTGAATTGTGTCCCCCAAGTTTTATGTATTAGAAACTTAGCCCCCACTGTGACTGTTAAGAAGGTGGGAAATCCTGTTATGGTAATGGGAAGGTGGAGCCTTGAAGAGGTGACTGGATTGTGAGACCATGCTGTAGTGAATGGATTAAAAATGGTGGTCAGGGGAGTGGTTCTGAGGGCTTTAAGAGAAGAAACTCTCTGCTCTCTCTGTTTCCACCATCTTGCAATGTGAGACTCCTTGGTCACTGTTGCACCACCAGATGGACTTTGGACTTCCTAGCCTCAGCAACTGTAAGCAATAAATTACATTTTCTTTATAAATCACCCAGTTTCAGGTATTTTGTTATAAGCAACAAAAATGGACTAATACGGTTGGGATTGCACTTCTCTAAATGGGCTTTTTCCCACTCGGTTTTTCTTGCCCCAAAGGTAATCCCTAGTTTCAAGAAGCCAGAATATGAACAGTTTCACAGGTGCATCATATCCTCAGGTTAAGGACTAGAAAGACAAATTAAGGGACTTCCGGAAGACCACACAGCAAATTACTTATTGGCAGAGCCTAGACCCCTTCCAGCACTTCATATCTTTGATTTTACAAATGGGAAGTACTTAATACAGAGCCTGACACCAAGTAAGTGCTCCTGCACTAGCTACTGTTATATAGTGTAATTTTATCTTCTGATTTTTCCCAACAGGATTAATTATTTTCATTATAACTCAAATAGAAATGCCTTTCATCCCTTCCTAAATTAGTCAAAGCTGACAGTGGTAAATACACCTGACAGGAAGAAAGCATCAGTAAATCAGCTCAAACACTTAGAATGTTTGATTTAGAATCCAGAATATATTATAATTTATATAGGGATATAATTATATAAATGAATTGAGTGCAGCCTTATAACATGAAGGTAACAGGTTCAGATCCCTGTACTAGCCAGCCACTAAAAAACGAAAATACTTATAAAAAGGCTAATTTTACAGTAAGTAAGTGTTAGTGTTAATTAGGACTTTGAAGCTCACTAAATTATTTTAAAACTATTTGGCTGCATAACTTCAGAAGAGTCATCACTAAAAGGTTGGGTCTGGTGTCTGCTAAAGTAGAACTTTTTCTTTTAAGCACTTTTTATTACAAAAATTAACATATGTAGAAAAAAGAGCAAAAATACAAATTATCTGTATTCTAATCCTGAGACAAGAAGTAAATTTTCCTTACGGTTTTATCGTAAAATCTTTCAAGCATTTAAATGAATAATGCTACTTTTGCTCTCTGCACCAGAAATCTCACGTACTTTCAAATGCTTTACAAGGCACAGAAAAAAAGTATTATCAAAATGTCCCATTTACCCTCCCTACCTCTATTTTTAAAAGACTATTAGAGTGAACCCAAATTAAAGAAAAAATTTAACTGGGGCTGGCTGGTTAGTTGGTTAGAGTGCGGTGTTGTAATACTAAGGTCAAGGGCTCGGATCCCCGAACCCGCCAGCCCTCCCCCCCTGCCCCCAAATTACTAACAATTAGTGCTTAATAGCCGCATTTTAAAAGGAGGGGTTATAAGAAGAGATCATCCTGGGACAATTCTAATTCGGGTACTCTGGGACTCACTCCCTTCCCCCCAAGTCCAGATTGTGGCAACCTCCTGGGTCCACGCATAGGCACGAATACGCCACAGGTGCCGCTTTGCACTCCCTGGGAACCGTGCCAGAGAGGCTGACGCGAGAGCCCGGCGTCCGCGTAGGCCTCGCGACGGGAACTTCATCCCTGACGCTTTGTCGTACGAAGCGTAACTCGAGGATCCGCCTCGAAGCTCCCACTCCTCTCGTCCTAAGAGGAGCAATAGGAAGCTGAACTCAGAAGCGAGCGGGCCAAGGAAGCAAAGAGCCGTATGTGGGGCTGTGTCCCCCACAGACGGCGCGTCCACCCACGCGCGACCGAGCCAACTCGCATTTGCTAGTGCTCCACCGCGGCCAGGGGGGAAGTGCTTCACCTGCCCGACTGAGGCTGCGCAAACCAGGGGCGGGGCGTCTCGCGCGCGCGCGCCGCGTCGCCGTGGAGACGGGGGCGGGGCCGGCACGACACTGGCATCCGGAGGCGCGCGAAACGCTGAGGCGGACTTGGACCGCGGGGACCTGAGGAGAACTGCCCAAGTCCGCCGACTCCCACCGCAGCTTCTCCTTAGGCACGGAAGGGCTCGGCTTCCCCTGGTACGAGGTCAGGCCCGATCGTCCCCAGCCTCTGAGTGGTTCGGCCTCTTCAGCTGTGAGTCCGGCGGCGAGCGCAGGTCCTTCCGAGCTGGGCCCTGTGACTGTCCTGTCGGAGTCCTCTCTTCCTCCTCCTCTAGAAGTGCAGGTCATGCTGCCCACCGATGGGGCCGTTGTGCGGGCGTGGAGGGTAATGTGAGAAGAGCGCGCAGGACGCCACCCTGAGCCCGCCCTCCGGGTCCCGCGCGGCGCTCGTGTGGTTTCTGGCGTGCGCTGCGTCTGGGCAGCGTCTCATCCATTGCCCGTCCCGGGGGCGCCGCATCCTCCCGCGCGTCTAGTGCCTGTAGGCAGGTGCCCGAGGCCACGCGAGGCTCATTAGCTTGCGCGATCTCTGCTACATGGCCGGGCAAGGGGCTGGTGTACACAGACCTCGGGGGCCGGGGCTGAACCGGAGGAGCAAACGTAGCAAACAAACCCTGCAGCCTCCCCCGCGCTTCGTTTTGATTTCACAGGAGGCCATTCAGATTTTTTTTTTTTTTTTTTTT